GTGATGTTATATACTTATCTTAATGTTGTAAATATAGAATTAATCCAAATGCATATATAAATAAAATATATAATGTCCTTTCATTTTTATTTTCATAAATCAAACATTTTTTTTTTTTTTTTTATCACATGTCACCTTTAAGTTATTTAAATCCTGTTTAATTATCATCAACGGCAAATATAATTTCTTCTTTCATAAATTACTACATCGGTTAAATATAGTGGCATCCTAGATATTTCTGATTATCTGTATCCGGATTTCTTCATATTTATGAAAAATATAATCATTAAAAGTATTTGCCTTGATTATTAAAATTTTTACAATTATTCAATCCTTTGATGAATTTAAATAGATCAGAAAAAGTTACACATTTCGTTCATTAAAACATAATCGTATTGTATTTGTTAGGATTAGTGAAAAATTCTTAAATAAATATAATTAAATTTAAATAAATATAATTTAATTAAATAATATAATAGTTAAGGGTCTTCTTTGACTTAATTGAAATGATATTGTTGATTAAAATATAATAACGTTCCTATTTCTTTTATTTGTCTTTCAATGAGCTCATGAAATATTATATTGTGGGGAAAATCTTGCAATCAATATATAAAAGTAAAATATCCTATCAAATAATGTTATTAATTAAAACGTATTATTGGCATCCTAATATATAAATACCATCGAAACAATAGTAAATATATTTATAGGGGAAAATAATACTAATGTTTAAACTTAAAACTTTTGCAATATTTTTCTCAAATTCTTATATAATACATTTCAACGAAACTCACCATTATATTTACCCTTCAAGAAATAATATTAAAATAGTTTATATGCATAATCTTCTCAAATCTTATTATTTATAAGCTTGTGTAGTTCTCTTTTAATAATTCAGTTAAATAAAAATTTATATTAAAAATTTATTTTTACACAAATAAAATTTTTCATAGAGTATTACATTCTTATAGACTTTACATTAAAACCAACAAAATTTTGATATATTTGATAAATTATTACTTCACGTAATTATACTTTTATGATTCATTTTATTAAATTTTGGTTGGAGCTATTATTTCACCTAGCACACCTTTAAATTGTCTACGCATTTTGTTATTTAATCATTTCTATCTCACCTGTTCATCGATCATAATTACCTCCCTTACGAATTATCATTTTTTGAAGGACGAATAAATTAATTAACTTAAAAAAAATGGTGAGTATAATACTGCTGTAGAATAAAATTATTCTTACCTTAGAACTTATAAATTGTTGATATGATATTTCACGACATAAATCATTTATATCCTAATTCAATTCTATTTCTATTACACTGTAATTTTGCGTCAATTAACCTTTCATTAAGATAACTATTTTTCTAAATTAAACAACTAATGTTAAATGTCTATGTGGTAAAATATGGAATTGATCTATTTGGAAAGTACATAGATAATATACTATTATTGTCGTAAATAATTTAGTTAAATCTGAAATAAAATTTTTATAACAAGTTTTCGTTAAATGAGTAAATATTAATAAAGACAAAGGCAGAACAATTACGCATTACAGATGGTTTGTTATTCACTTTTATTATTAATATTTTTAAAAGCAATTATTCTTATCAAATGAATAAAATAAACTTTAACTTTATATACAAATTAAATATGTGACAAGTTTACTGATTAATCTATTTATATATAATGCATCACTTATTGATTATATAGTATATACGTGAGTTTAAAAAGTGTACTAACATTTTGTGCTTCTTGTTTATCGAAAATGTTCACGATAATACAATATAAATCTAGCTTCATTATTACTTATTTATAAACTATCTACAACATGATAATAATTCATTAACATATGTGTTTATTGAATTATATTAACTAGAAGCCAATAAATATTATAAGTTAAAAATTTTTAAAATATGGAATACAATATGTGGAAAAGTATTATTATGAATTGTTAATGATAGCAATGTAAAAGAAAATTTGTTTACAATATTAAGTATGCAATTAAAGCATATGGATATGAAACGAATTTTGTTTCTTTTCAAAAAATGTGTTGAGTGAAATGAGGATCAGGAAAAAAGATCGAATAAAAGCTCATGTTTCAGGAAAATTTGTAAATAGTTTTTTATAAAATAAATGGAGTTCTTCTTATCAAATTATAAATAATTACTCACAACACTGCAAAAATCACAGATTAACTCAGTAAAAACTGCGATAATGTCGGAACCGTATTAAATGTCATGATTTATTTGTACTGTTTCCTAAAATATCAGATTTACAGTAAAATTTCTTTTACAATTATTCAATATTTAAATATGAAACATCTTTTATGGAACGTTTTCTATTTAATCTTATCATTTGCTTTTATGATAATCGTAATCGTGGTAACGGAATTTTTCATTATCTTTTTTTTTAATATAAAATTATGTTTATCATGAAATTAATACTGAAAATTTCTATTATACGAATGGAGAATTGAAATAAAAATTTTATTGAAAATATATATTTTAATTTTATAAAATTCAAAAATCATTAATTCCGATATATACGTGGAAAATTGTGAGCAATTATATTGTGTCAATTGTACGAGAAGCGATTAAATAAATTTTACCAAGTTTTAATTTTAACTTATACGTAAATTATATCTCATTATTTAAGAATAATGAAATGAAAAATTAGCTTCCATTTGTCGAATTACACATACATACACACGAACACGCACGCACGCACGCACGCACGCACGCATATATTATTTCAAGAGAATTAATTAAGTTTGTTACTTTTTGATTAAGTTTGTTATTATACATATGAATATTTTCTAATAAAGATTATAAAGAAATATATGTTGCATTATGCTTTAATGTTTAGTATGGTACTATAAATTTGTGTGTAAATTATTATATTAAAAAAAAAAAATAGAAAAATATTTTAATTGAACATTCATAAATATTCAACATTAAATATTTTATTAAGGTAAGTTTTAATAGTTTTTCAAACAATATAAAATTAAAATATAATAAATTGCTTACTGGTTTTTTGAAAATGAAAATTAAATCAACGTTTTATACAAATAATATTATAAAATATATATAGATTTTAATAATTTCTTCATTATCGAGAATTATAACTATATAGATTAATGAATATATTTGTTTTTACAAAAAATTTCATGTGTATTTAAAAATAAAAATATTGCAATATACAGATTCAAAAATGTACTTATAATGTATAAATTTAAAGTTTTATATAAAAATCTATAAATTTTCTGTACTGAACATTATTATGCATTATCATTAACAATAAATAAAATATAAAAATATTTTTCACCTTTCAAGTTAATACATTTTGAAAGTGGTAACATGCATATGAAACACTAAAAATGTAAACGTACATTTAGATCTATAAATAATAAAATACTTTTATTAGTTAAAATATACAGGATTCTGAACTACAAATATTCTCATGGCAATCTCGACTTGATTAACAAATTTCATAAATATGAGGTAAGTGAAAATTAATTAATATAAATTTAAATTAATATAATTTAAAGACTATTTATATCAATAATTAGGTATAGATATTAGAAATTAGCAAATGCGAATGCTGTCTGACTATCAGAGTTAAGAAGATGAAAATAAATAGAAAATATCAATGTCTCTAAAGATGTGTAATATTGTGTTTAAAAAGTACATTACAATTTTTTTTTTCTTATAGAATAAGTAGGCTATGAAGATAGGTTTTTCATTATTATGTTTTCATTTGAATTCGAGAATACAGTTGAATTTAATTATAAGTTCGAAAATAGCATATTCTCTGCTTTACTAATTAGAATCATTTTATAAAAACATTAAATTTTAAATGAATTTATAATAAATACTGCACATTGCAGTTTTTCGTCAGCGTATAATTATATATTCATTTTTTTTTTTTAATATTTTGGTATTGAAGCTACCCCTTAATCGTAAAAAATCATCATAACAAATCTGTTTTTTGTTTAAAATATCCGTACTAAACCATCTTTTCACTTTAAAGCGCGTGTTCTGTCTAAAAAGAAAAAGAAAGTATTTCTAAATAATCTTGCGATTATTATTATATTTCTAATCTCTGCTCTACAAATGACATATTTCTTTTTAAATAGCGGTAAATATGTATATGTTTAAATAAAATTTATTTGTTTTGTTTTTCAATAAAACTGATTTTCATTCATATATAAAGTTTATATATATTTTTTTATGATATATATGTAAAAAAATATGAATACTATAAATTAGTACAAACATTAATTGATTATATTAATAAGTGTTAAAATTAATTATTTTGCTCTTATACCAATATGACTTGAATACGACATTAAGTATTAGTCATTTTTCATAATTTTTCAGTAATACATAATACCAAAAATAATCGAATTATATTTACTCATACATTATAAGTTCTAATTTTAATAGTTTAATTTTAAATTTAGGCAAATATGGATTCTGATAGCCAGAGACAAAGGTAAAACGGAATGAATATTAAGGTTCACAGACATAAGGATTTTAGTTTGCGAAAAATTGATTCTTAGTTTACTTAGCATTCTCAAGCTTATGAACTCTGAAGCTTCATAATGGAAAAATATTCGCATGCATGGACAAAAGTGTGACGCTTAAATTGTTGTTAAAAGTGTGTGATACTTAAGTAGCGAGCGAGAGAAGAGAAAAGTTTGGTTTACATCGATCGTACGTAATGTAATTCGTAGAAGACGTGAAGTTAGCTAAGTGAATATGTGGTCTTTAATGGGTCATAATAGGAAGTCGATAATGAGGAATGATAATGCCGGATGACAATAGCCGGACTACTGATTATAACGCCGTTATAATTTCGCAACGATTTTATTCAATCGAATGTTGCGATGATAATGAAAATGGAAAATCGGCCTTTATTATGGAACAGTAGATTGAATCTATTTTATCAAATAATAGCCGAATTATCAGTTTGCCGAATTATCTT